TATAGAACTCTGAAATGTCCTGGTAGAGGGCTGTGCTCACTCTGGTCTTGATGAAACCCAGTACCACACCAGCACCAAATCATCGCTGACTGGTTTGTTCTTAGGTACGATATCCAGATGCCTGGAGGTGCCACGTCCATCTGTTCAAACCATAGGCATCACATTAATTATAGGGGACATGTCCCTCCCCCTCACATTTAAAAATATTTGTTTGGACCCAACTCCCCCCCCCCCCCCCCACACACACACACACATTTACCATGAAACATAGCGCTGTTTCTACTAAAGGTCCACTCCTTGTTTTCCTGGTTACCTACAACAACTCACTACAGTGCATGCAGTGTTTCCCTGAGGTCATTTGGCTTGGCAGGGTGCTCACGGGGGGAGGAGAGGGGAGACACCTCTGTCTTGTGCACTAGCTTAGCGCTACATTAGTGTGAGCAGTTGTTGACCAGGGGGGTGGGGGGTGGGGGGGTGGGGGGTAGGATGCATGAGAGAAGCAGAGTGCTATGTCTAGAGGATCTTAGCTAGCGTGTCTGTATTGCGCGCCGCTAGCTTAGCACTACGTTAGTGCTGTCAGTTGTCGATGGGCAAAGCATACTCTATTCACACAAGGAGAGCTGTTGGTCAGGCTATTTCTTGTCGCTCTCTAAAATAATTATTGTATCAAGTGTTTACTTATGTAGGTAAACGTAGATGTTAACAACTCATTAAAATACACCACAATGCCGAAAATAGCATCTACTTTATTCAAAAATTTCTGGAGGAGGACCCCAAGATCCTCCCCCCACCAGTTTGTCCCCACCACATCCCATTACAAATGCTTCTGACGCCAATAGTTCCAAACCATTAAATACAACTATAAACAATGTAGGAAAGTTCAGCCGTCATACAGCACAGAAAGAAGGTTCTGTGTTCCCGAGATGTTTTAATGGAAATGTGTGTATCAGTCCCAAAACAAAAGGAAAATATTTAGTGAAGATGCTGCTAAAGTTGGTCCGAGGGTGTCCTTATCCACAGGGAAATGAGTCCTGTACAGACATGAGCTCAAAGAACACTCAGTGAGGAAGACAATATTACGCTTAACACAACACAAAAGCCAGATTACAGCTTGTAAAGACCCACAGGGACAAATATCTTAATGTTAGGAGACATGTCCTGTAGTCTGATGAAACTAACCTTCAACAGTTTACTTGGGACTCCTCAGACTGATGAAGCCCTCCGGATAGAGGGCGAAACGTCTTTCAACAAAAAAGAAACTGTCCAGATGACCTGACTGTCCATTATTGGATTTTGTACCTGGATGATTGCGCATGAACTTTGATGTCTTGAACCACTTTGGCTGTGGCTGCCTGCCTGGGAGGAGTCGACGGGGGACAGGACAGCCACCAGCAAACTGGTTGGTCCACCAAAGGAGTGTATTGCTTAGTGGGGAAAACAGTTTACTTGGGACTCCTCAGACTGATGAAGCCCTCTGGATACAGGGCGAAACGTCTTTCCACAAAAAGGAAACTGTCCAAATGACCTGAATGACCATTATTGGATTTTGTACCTGGATGATTGAGCATGAACTTTGATAACCTTCAGCTGTTTGATCCTAATGACCATCATGAAGCATGAAGTACGGGGGTGGCATCATCGTACTGTAGGGGTATTCTACTGCAGGAGGTACTGGTGCACGTCACAAACTGAATGGCATCATGAAAAAATAAGATTATAAGGAGTTATTGAAGCAACATCTCAAGACATCAACCAGGAAGTAAAAGCTTGGACACAGATGGCTCTTCGAATGGACAAAGACCATCAACATACCACCAAATAGTTATAAAGAGGCTGAATGATGCAGCCATCGAAAAACTCTGATTCAGTCCCAGAGAAAATTTGTGGACAGAGCTGAAAAGTCGACCTACAAACGAGACTCAGTTCCAACAGGTGTGTCAGGAGGAAAATCCAACAAATTATTGTGAGAAGCTTCTGGAAGTAAACCCGCAACGTTTGACCCAAGTCAGGCTGTTTAAAAGCAAAATTACCAGATACTAAGAACAAGGAAGAAACTTGTAATAAAAAATATTTCAAGTTATTCAAGGATTTAGCAAACAGATATAATTTTAGGAATCCTAGATGAATTTTTAAAAAATGGTTGTTGTAGAAGGGTATTAATGTAAAAAAAAAAAAATGCAGAGAAGAACTGAAGCGTTTCTATCATCTTCCCTCCTGTACCATGGCACACATGAACAATGCATTAAAACAACAGAATTTAACCTGCTAAATATTTTACACTCCAGTCAACTGTGAAGAAATCGACTAAACAGGACAGGACGGTTGTTTTCTGTGGAGCGCACGGGCGCTGCTGTTGGCGTGCTCATGTTTCTTCGTGAAAAAAGAAATCCAGAACCTGATTCTGGGTTAGATGAGAACAAAGGCAGCCTGAGAGGGATAAAAAAATGGATGAAGGAGTAGAAGGAGTCAGAGAGATGGAGCGAGTTGTGTCAAATGGATAAATGTCAGAAGGAGCTTTATCGTCTGTCTCTCCCTCCCAAAATGCCACGTGCAAATCATCGAGGCCCCCAGCCTTCCCTGAGCTCTGAAATGAGATTATAGACCTCTCTGACGTGCCGCGTATGTCTGTGTTTGAGCGCCCGTGAAACAGAATAACATCGAGCTGATAGGTAGAAGGGCACAGGTTTGGTGACTTGCATGCAGAAAGAGAATAAGCAGAGATGCTGGCGCCACCAAAAATGTTGGAGCAATAAGAATTTGGGTTTTGTTTTTATTCACAAAACAAAGGAAACAACAAGTTTTAACCAATGTATCAAATAAAAAATAACTTTATTGTAATGAAAATGTTTTCTCTGTCTGTTAGCAAAATATCTAAAAAGCAATTGGATCGATTTTAATGACATTCTCAGAAATTAATTGCTGAATATGCATCTACTTCTTGGGTTTCTGGGGCAACTTAATTCAAGATGGCCACCAGAACTAATTAACCTTAACAGGATCTCCAACTACTTGCACATATTGGTCTTAACACGTTGTTTTTCTCTATTCTACTAAAAGTTGTTGTTTGTGACATAAAAATGCATAATTAATTTTAAAAAAATCTATTCAATGTTTCACATGAGGACGTCGCCAATATTTTACCGGCGCAATGCATTCTGGGGCAATGACGTGTGTCGTTGTAGTGGAGATTAAAACACAAGTCCAGGCTAAAAAGTTATAACACAATAAAGTTATATTTTTTATTAGTCCTTATGCACAATATGTGGGTTGAGATGATCAAAAGTGATCAACTGATGAAGTTTAATTTATTAGCTCTAGCACTAACGCTATTAGCTCTCGGGCTAATGTATATGTATATATATATATATA